GCTTCCCTACAGATTGCCCAGTCCCCATCATTTACCCATGTGGAAGACTTGTCCAGCACCCTAGATGGAAAGTAGTGCTGGTGGTGAGGATTTAAAACCCCTCAATTTAAGGACATCCCTGTTTGGTGGAAGAGGAGAGGGATGAGAACAAAGCAGCCAATGGCTCTCAGATGTTGTACTTAGAACTACACAGGGGTCTGGCTATGTGGCCTGGCCAGGGTCCCCACACATTAGAAGTGCCATACTTGGGTGGCAGTCACCTTCCTCAGCAGTCACGTTGCCTCAAGGGCTCCTGTTGAGTTTGCAGGTCCCATCCATGCGACTCACTAGCTTCCTTTCTTCTCAACTTGGAACATTTCATTTCTGTTAACCCAAGCACAGGATTTAGCATTTACCCCCAATTAAACCTCATCTTGTTAGCTTTGATTCAACTGCTGAAATCTCCATGATCCAGATTCTGCTGTGAGGAGCTAGCTCTCCCCGCCAGCTTTGTGTTGCCAGGAGATGTGATCAGGGTAGATTTTATGTCTTCATAGTGATGGCTGACAAAACCCTGGACCAAGGAGATGCTGTGCACACAACCCAAGGCCATCTGAGGCAGTGTCAGACCAGCTGCCTGGGTCAACATGAATACTGGATTAATATCCTCTGGACAGTCATTTAGCCAGCTTCTCAGCCACCCACCATCACCTTCGCACTGGCTGCATTTCTCCATTCGGTCCATGATAGTCTGAGAGATAATCTAAACTAAACAACCTTCTCAGATTTTTTTGTCTACATTTTTGACAATTTTTAAATGTGCTATTATTGTTCTAAAGTGAACACTACTTAAAGTTACCCCTTCAGAAAAGTCTGGCACTGTTCCAGATAGAATGAAAGTCCATGCTAAAGTTCCTCTAGCCCAGAGACACCCCAAACCCAAACCTAAACTCAGTGGACCACGGGCTTCCCATGACAACCCTTCAATCAGTGCCGGTTTCAGAGTTTACAATCAGAACACTCACAGGATTGAGGGATGTGGGACTGTGATCTACAGCTCTCACTTTTAATTATCCTAAACTGGAAAAACGATGTCTAAGCTGGCCTGCCTGTCCCATAAAGCATTTTGATCAAAGATGCAGTCTCGCAGAGCACCTGTCTGAAGAACGGCCCGGGAGCCCACTGGGATCCAGGAGAGGTATGGACGTGATAAAGCTGGTCTCTGCAGTCCCTCAGGCAGGCAGCAGCACTGTGAAAGATGCTTCTCGAGGGAAGCTTTGTGTTGCTTTAAACATTCAATTACGGCTGTACAAACACAGGTTTTAAGTGAACGGCAGATCTTTGTACAAATTACGAATGCTCAAAGGTAAATAAAAGAGTCCCTGAAACGGTTATTAAATAAAAATCCGGCCCTGCTCCATGAAGAAGTAGTTTACCATTTCTGAGTAGGGATAACTAGGTTATTCTCTTCCAGCAGAGGCTACAGATTGTACCTCTTGTGATTTAAGGGTCTGAGGCTACTTTTAGTCAGGTTTTCGTTTCTAAGTGAGTTTTTAACTTATATAGCTTTCTGGAAATTCAAAGAACTCACTCGTCAGTGGACAGAACATTCTTGTCATTTGGAAGCTGCTAAACGTGATTCAAAAGTATTTTAAAACGTCTTTCACTGTATCCTTTTTATAAATAATAAATATTTCAACCTTCCTGTTTTCAACCATGGTCAAGTTTTAACAGTAACTTTTTTCCTTCAAAACAAAAAGGCTTTTTCTTAATTTTAAAAGTGAGATACCCTTATAAAACATTAACTCAATAGAAAATATCTTCCATAATCTTGGTGTTTAGAGATGTGTGCCATGTGCAAAATAAAAATTGAATACCTTGTAAATTATTTTCTAACATGAAGTTTACATTGATTACATCATGGATTTCCCCCAATAATAAAGACCTTCATCATTTTTAATTACTGCATGTTCATATTCTGTAACGAACGTCTTTGAACACAGGGCTGATCCCCACCTGTAGGCAGCAAAGCCGGTGACAATCAGCTGGCTGCCTTACTGGTCAACTGTTCTTTCTGATGGATTGGGCCCTATACTGCAATGGGTGTTCGGTATTTCAATGATTTCTGTATATATAGGTGTATATATCTGTATATACTTGGCAGTACTGGGAGTTGAATTCAGGGCCTCATGCTCTACTACTTGAACCACTCTGCCAGCCCTTTTTAGTGCAGGGTACTGTTGAGCTAGGGTCTTGTGGCAAACGATTTGCCTAAGCTGGCCTCAAGCAGCGATCTCCTGATCTCTGCCTCCTGAGTAGTTAGGATTACAGGTGCGAGCCACCAGTGCCTGGCTCTGCTTATGTTTTTATGTTTAAGTTCTTACAGTTTCATTTGAATAAACTCTGGATTGGATCTATTGGGCCAAAAGCTATGCAAGTTGAAAAATTAGTTATAAACTGGATGATTATCTTTTGTGTCTGACAGCATTAAGAGTTAGTAGCATAAAAGCATTTTCTAAAATTGTAGATTTTGGAGGTATTCATTTGTAATAGACAGGCAGCCTTTTAAAAACTGTTATACTGTACGGGGGAATGCATTATTAAAATAGTACCACCGGTGTGCTCTAATTATGGAAATGGTATTTTTAACAGGATGGAATCTTTAACTTTGGTACAGGTAGGGGCTGAGGATGTAGCAAGGTGGAGGACTGTTTTCCTAGCATGCACAAGGCTCTAGGTTTGATCTCTAGCGCCAAAAAAAAAAAAAAATGGTACGAGGATAATCAAAACAAAGCTAAACGATCTATTAGGAGCATATTAAATATTCTCCGTTGAGTTTTTAAATGTAAGCTGATGAGGAGTTTGGAAAGAGAGAAATAAATTGAGAAGAGACAGTTTCATGTATTCAACTTTTCTAATTTTGAGACTATCATATGAAAGGCCCAGAATTAGAAGGGAGCAAATTAAGTCACTGTTAAAATGACTTTCTATACAAATTAGTCATTGTCTGGTTGTCAGCAGGTATTATTCCATCTGCAGTAATGGGAAGCAAAGCATTTTCAGGGAACCCATGAACAAGAATATTAAACTACTTTACCAACTCCGAGAACCAGATGGGCTCTAAGAAATCATTTCTACATGGAGAAGCATGTCTACTTTATAAAGCTAAGTGAAGAGCTAGGGTATAAAATTACACAGACAACAACATCAACTCAAAAGACAAAAGAAGCAAAACCTTATGTACAAGAAAAAAAATCTGTATTTGCATTTGCTGCAACGTTAACCGGGGTTACATTTGATAACAGGAGTACATTTTTTTTAAATTCTTTGTTCCTTTCTTCCCCTATGCTGTTCGGTTTTCTGCTGGGGCACGTATTCCTTTTACAGCAAAAACAAGTAACTCAAGGATTTTATTAGGTCTATGTGTGCTCTTCTACCTGCGGACATAACACCATCTACAAAGTTTAGGACCAGCCTCCTGGATGCTGGCAGCATGTCCTTCCAAATGCCTCGTACTCTCAATAAAGAAACTTCTAGAACAGGCCTCCAAGCACAGTAACCCATCGGGGATATGGGTCACAACTGCAAGCCTTTCTTTTGCTCTTTCTAAGGATACCTAGCTTCCTGCATGGAGATATTTTCAAAGTCATATACCAGCAGCAATATACAAAAATTGAAATGTCCTACAATATTCTTACATGAAAAAATAGAAAAAGAAAGACCATAAAATATTTACTTTCCTAAGAAAGACATGTCAAAACCAATACACAGTTTTCAGTTCAGAACCCAAATTATTCAACACAAGTGCCTGACTCTCTCTGTTAAGATCACCAGGTCACAAGAAAAGCTGAAACACATTACTTATTTACTGTTTATGAAGATTTCGATCCATTTAATCATGAAGGGAATGGATGGATATAAAAAGAAATACAAAGAGGCAGATTGCAGATGGTAAGGAGCAGGCCACGTGATTTTCTGTGTTTTTATTTCAAATACATTGTGACATTTGATACAGAATGGTAGCATAAGCTAGTGATGGTCTCTTTCCTCTAACTTGCTCAGTGTGCTTATATCAAAGCACCAACACCCACAGTGATTGACTTGTTTATGTGGAGACTCTGATTTGGGTTTTTGTGATACCTCATCCCTGGCAAGCTTCTTTCTGAAGAGGCCTACCCATTCACACTGTATTTCAGCAAACCCCAGCACGGCACTGATGAGTGAGAAAGAGACAAGGCTTCCTAAAGACAGAAACTGTTATTTTTAATCAAGCAGAACCTGGGAAGTTGATTTAGTCCTTTAAATACAGATTGCTCATGGGAAGAGCTCATTAGTAACTAGCTAGCTAGGAAGAGGCCTCAGAGCCAAAGCACTGGTGGGAGAGCCAGGGTAAGGAATGACGTGGGCAGGAGCTATTTTCACTTGTACCTTGAAGCAGACACAGCTTCTACTGGGAAGCCAGACAAAATATGTAATAATATCCACACATTTCAAAAATAATTAATGCCATTTTCTGTAAATTTATATAATTTTTCCAGAGAAGGGTGATATTTTAAAGTGAAGTTTGTATTGCTGGAAACATGCTTTGAAAGACAAAATAAGTTCTTGGTATTTCCCCAGAGATAAGTATTTCTACCTCTCTGAAGCTACTTCCTCTTCTACAGGTCAGGAATTGTCAAAAGTCATCTAATTATGGAACACTGTCATTTGAGTGAATAGGGGCTGGTTAAATTCTCTCTTCGAGAAAAAGAAACATTGGAATTATAGAAAACCTGCTGAGTGATCAAGTTCTTTGTTTTTTAATTTTATTTTATTTTATTTTTTTAGAGAGCTAAAAGTCCTTGTTTTTACATTGCAAAATTTTTTGAAATTAAGTTCAGGCTCAGATGTGAATGTGGATTACAAATGTATGCCATTTAGTTCTGTTTCTTTAAGTGCTAACACAAATTACACAACACTGTTCAGTCCACATTGTCTTAACTTTCTCCCATCATTGATAAACAAGAATCAAGTTGACTTACTCATTTCTTTCCAGATTTATGATCAGTTCTCTGCTTTCCAGTTGAATTCGAACACTCAATACTTCTGGATGATCCTGAAAGACAAACAAGAAGAACTAGTTGAAAACCATTTGACCATGCTCTACAGGCACAGTCAGCAAGCGAGAGAAAATTCCTTTTCTTCTTGGAAGCATTTTGAGACTCCAAGTTCAGAAGACCAGGGCACAAGCTGGAAAATGAAACACTGGGCACAGATGTGGCTTTTTATACTCTTTGCCTTTGACCATATACCCTTGGGACCCTCTCCATTCACCACAGGCTCCCTCCACCCCAGTGACCCTTTCCTTAGCTCTACAAAAGGCACCTTCATTTCCCCAACTGCTCATGCCAGAGATCTCAAGTCATCCCTCAGGGTCTTCCTCTCTATGCCCTGGTCCACTCCATGAAAGGCAGGGCAAGAGGCTCTAAAGTACCTGCCATCTCCTGCAGGTAGTCCTGCAGCCTGCCCCACCCTCTCTACCCCAAACCATGCTCTCTCTCACCTGCAAACCCCACATGCAAAACTCTTCTACTCTCAGCTCCTCCATGTCTACTTTTGTGTTCTTCCCATTCATTCTCCATGACAGTGGAGGATATCTTTAAAAATACAGCCTGACCAGTCCACCCCTATGGCCCTGGCTGCCTGCCACACTGCAAGATGTCTACTCTTTAACCTGACCTACAGTGTCCCATCCCTGTGACTAGGGCCCCCTGCTACCACATCCACCTAAGCTGCTCTCCTCTTTGCTCACCTGGTCCTACCTCTCCAGCCTATTCAGCTACTCAAGCACACAGAGCTTTCTTGAGCTGGGAGCCCTGGCATATGCTGTTCCCTTACCTGGAAAGCTTTCCTCCCAACTCTTCTAACTGGTCTCAGTTTGAAAGTCAACGATGCAAAGAAGCCTCACCTTACCCGCAACCTAATTATGTCCCCTCCCCAGTTATTCTTTCTTCCAGCCTACTGTCCTTTCCTTTCTCCTCAGGAAGGGCATTCATTCTACTTGTAACAGCAGTGTGTCAACTTCTGCTCTTTTATCATGACAATCTTGATGCCTGAGGAGTTACAGAAACTCAGGTAACATTGGTAAACGAAGGAACCATAATGGATGGGGCCATGGCGCTACTGTCCTCTTTCTTTCCCTCTTGCTTGGCAGATCCCTCCCCTCCCGCTCCTCTCCTCTTCCTGTTAAGATAGTTGACTGCATATCCAGACTCAGAAACTGCTTGCCACTGGGTCTGTGTTCAGGGGAGGCTGCCCAGTTGATGGAAAGAACAGAAGGTGGGCTCTGTCATAAATGATGTTGTCAACCGAGAAGTGGCCAAAGTGCTGTCATAGGCCTGTGTGCAGATTAAGGTTTCTTAGCAGCTTAAATGCAGGGGAGGGGAGGGGAGGGGCAGGGGAGGAGTATAGCTCAAGTGGTGGGCCCTGGGTTCAATTCCCAGTGCCTTGAAGAGGAAAAAAACCAGAGAAGTGCATGGAGAATTGGGCCACCCCACAGAACCAGCACAACTGCCTCACGGGTGTCTGGTTCTACCCAGAAGCCCCGTGTGAGCACTGTACATGGTCATTCTCTTACCGAGACATCCTTGTCCACAGTCAACCCCAGAGCTAGCTGAAGTTATACTGGCTTTGTCTGCCTGTGCTTATAAGTTCCTTTGCTTTTATACTGTGAAAGAGTGTTGAAAGTAAGAAATTTATATATAGTTTTCTAATATTCCACAACTTGAAAGGTATTATAATAATTCCAGAGTTCAAAAGGTTTTCACAACATAGCGTTCCAGCTATATTATGAGTTAACTAACCACATATTACACTTTAAGACAAAACAGAGTATAAATGCCAATTAGCCAACATTAAAATAATTAGTCAAAACGAAACAAAAAAAAATTTTTTTAAACCCCACAATAACTGAAGTTCGCATAAGTTTTGGGAAAATAATAAAATGTGATAACTAATAAAAACTATTTGTCTTATTTTTAGGTCAACTCTCTGACATCTTCTAGTAGTCTTCTTATGTCTAATCTGGTACATCTATTTAAATTAAATTACCCACATACATCTATTTAAATTAAACTAAAATAAAATTGAAAAGTAAGTTCACCAGCTATTCTGGGTGATCTAACAGCTACATGTGACTCCTGGGCGAGACAGGTACAGGGCACTCCCACTTGTGCAAAGGCCTATTGGTCAGTTCTGAGGGACAGATAAAGCCAAAAACGTGCATCATCCAATCATGGCCTGAGTTATAGGTATTTTAGAATCTGGTGCCTGCAGGGATAACATCAGACACAAACTCAACTTTTTTTTAATGTGCCTTGAAGAGGCTTGTCTCAATTTTAATTGAGGGATGATGCTATTTTAAATAGTTACTTAAGCTTGAGGGTTAAACAGCTGAATTTCCATGCTCAGGCATAATTTTTGGACTTACACAGGTTTGCCTTTCATGGATTTATTCTAGCAAAAGACTACACCAGCATACATTCATATATTAATTCAGATATTTAATTCCTATTTTGACAATATCTTGTGTTTATAAGAATTGCAGGGATTTCTGAATGCTTGCTGAACTTTTAAAATATTTTTATTCCATCCTAAGTTACTTTAAACCCATGTTACTTCTTTTTAGCATAGTGTGCGAAGTGTTTTTATTTGCTTTTGTGTCTCTCCCAGGACTTTTGCCTGTATTTGTTTATACTTTCTGACACTTAGATTTAATTTCAAACATTTATACAATGTTCTGTGCAGGGTTTGCAATAGGTACTCATTAATTATATCTTAGAAGGACAGGATTATTAATTGAGTTTACAACATGATATTAAAACACAAATATGTCTTAATATTCTGTCAAGATTGGCCCATATGTCTGCATCTTTGTATGTATAACTAGCTGTTTTATATTTGTGTATATATCAATACTAGTTACTTCACTTACAAATTGTGTTTGTCTAAGATATTGACACAAACATATCACCATCTTGAAGAGAAATCCTGACAAGTGTACTTGTAAATAAAAATAAAAGGCTAAGAATACACCCTCATGGTAAAGTGTGTGTGTGGTATGTGCAGTGTCCTGGGCTTGACACTCAGCACTCCCAACAAACAACAAAACAATTCATGCACCCCTGTGCCCCCCAAAATTGAGCTAGTTTAACTATTAACATTTGCACTAGTTCCACTTAAAGTATGAACAAGAGCCGATGTAATGTTTCAATGTCAACAACTTTCAAACAAGTACATTTTCTGGCTAGGTGCTTTGGCTAGAGCCTGTAATCCTAGCTACTTCACAGGCAGAGATTGGGAGGATGGTAGATTGAAGCTAGCCCAGGCAAATGGTTCACAAGACCCCATCTCAATCAACAGCTGGGTGTGGTGATACACACCTGCCATCACAACTGTTTGGGGAAGCACAACTAGGATGATTCCAGTCCAGGTTGCCCAATCATAAATCAAGACCCTATCCCAAAAAATAACCAATAAAATAAGGGCTGGTGGAGTGGCTCAAGTGATAGAGCACCTATCTAGTGCTCTAGTAAGCATGAGGTCCTAAGTTCAATACCCAGTACCACAAATATATATATAATAAAATATATTTTCCTCCAGGGTGACAAGAAAATCTTTTTGTGTATGTGTTTGTGGATATATGGCTGTGTAGGACAAACTCAATGGAGAGGAAACACAGAGAGCTATTTTAATTTAAAGCCATTAATTGCATTAGACACTTTAGTTTGAAAGCTGTGTTTGTTTGCTTTTCTTTTGAAAACCTCTGTGGGAGGTTATAAAGGAGCACTAGCAATACTACATTCCTTTTCTTAAAGATGGTGCACTGATTCCCCTAATGGAACTATGTCTTTTGTTGGATGCTTAAAGAACAGCATTACTGAACAACTCAATTAAATGCTAATCAATAGGCCAGGAATATTTGGGAATTATAATTCCATCTTTTAAATCAGGGAAAGCACACCCAAAAGAATAGATAAAATGCATCAGTGTGTCTTTAAAAAAGAGAACAATGAAATAATCACCAGGGTACCTTGAACAGCTCTCTAGGACTGTCATAACAAAATGTCACATGCTGGGTGACTCGTTCATCAGAAAGTTGTTTTCTCTGAGATCTGGCAGTTTGAAGTATCAGCCCAAGTTGTTGGTTTCTTCTGAGGCCTCAATTCTTGGCTTTCAGAAGCTGCCTGGTGCTGCTTCTTGCATCCCAGTGCCCTAACCTGGTCTTACGGAGGAGACACCAGCCATGTCACAAAAGGCCCACCTATATGACCTCCTTTTACCTTCATCACCTCTCTAAAGGCACTGTCTCCAACACCGTCACTTTCTAAAGCACTGGAGTTAGGACTCGAGGCATGGATTTGGCAGGTTTGCGGAGATGCAACTCAGCCCTAGTCAGCCCTATGCTGAAGTCATTCCCACATTCTCTCATTGCTCATCAGAGGCAGCCATCAAGCTGAACTTCCTGACTTCCTTTACAGGATACTTCCACATGGATCGATCTCTCTCTCTCTCTCCCCCAACCCCATCCAGCTAGCTAACTATGCATATTCCTAAACAATGTACTCTTCAGCTTTACCCAGTTTTGAGTGTTATAAAAACAGTCTCACACTTGGTCTGTTCTCTGACTGGGTTTAAGTTACTGTTCTACGTGTGGATTCACTCGTGGCTGTCTGTAGCTGTTGGCCATCTACTTTCATTGCTTTGCAGTGTTCTACTGGATGAACAATTTACATATCCGTTCTTAGGTCTTTTGCCTTACATACTGACACATATTCCTGTGTGCTCACCCCTACAGGGCAGATTCGGGTTTCCATCTGGCACGGAGCCTCTGGGTGGTGAGGTTTGCCTGTTTGCCCCGCCCCCAGCAATCTTTAAACTGTTTTCCAAAGTACAAACCAGTTACATCCCTTCTATTAGTGAGTAAATGTTCCAAACCACTCCATATCCTCATGAATATTTGGCAAAAACTTTAAAATCAGGCAAGACCAATCTGCTAAGTGTAAAATTGTACTTCTCGTGGTTTTAGTTTATATCTCCCTCATTGGTAACAGGCAG